ACCCATGTTTTAAAAACATATTAGTTTATTGTCTTTTACTGCTTTTTACTGTTATGTTTTACATTCTTACATAAAATAAAACTCAATATTTTTTAACAGGTACCTCAACATTTCTCAACATTTCTGCCCTTTTAAACCAATTATTAGGAATTAAGCCATAGAAAACAGAGGGTTTTTTTTCAACGATACATTTATCTTATCTGTGCTTACCAGCTAAAATATATCAGAAGTCACCTGCAAACCTACTTAAAGAAAGAACAGCTGTTTCAACTTCTAACATTAAAATGGGTTGTTAGGATTTTTGAGGGCTTTAAGAAAAATATTCTGTTCTTATTGGAAAACAAATTTAATATTCTGACTGAACAGAATAATAAGCTTGTAAAAAGAAAAAAATACAGTTTCGGATAATAAATACTTCAGGAAAAAAAATGGGGAGGAAGGAAAGAAAAATGGCAGTCTCCAAAAATCAAATAAATGATAAATATTGAATGTCTTCATTTAATCAATTGGGGATTAAGCTATTCAATGATGACATTCATTTTATTTCTTTCTGTAATAAATGTGTTTTATTATTAATCCTACTTTATTCTATATGGCTATCATAGTTCTGAAATTGGATAACTTTTTCCTTATAAATGTTTTACTAAAGATGCTCCTACCATCTGATTTTTTTATATTTCATAAATGTTTCCCAGTCCTAATATTTAGGTATCTAATAGTCTTGCCCACATTCATTTTGGTGTATGTCCCTCTGTGTATACATACATACATACATACATACATACATACATACATACACAACATTGATACATTTGCAAAAGGTTAATGTCTCTGCCAATCCACTATGGGTCTTGCAATTAAATCTCTTCTAACAAGCATATCCTTCAGATTCTTGGCTCCTCTCTAGGCAGAACATGATTACCTATTGCATCCTGGTATGTGTGTGTATTTGAGTGTGTGTGTGTGTGTGTGTGTATACATACATATATATATGTGTGTGTGTGTGTGTGTGTGTGTGTGTTGCTTTGTCAAACCTTCTGAGGCAGGCAAACTTAGGAACCAAGCACCAGTTAGATTTCTGGAAAAATCTTTATTGCTAGTAGGACATTGGAATAGGCTTTTGAAAGCTTGCCAAAATATTTCCCCAGCTCAACTTATACCTAGCATAATTAAATTGGAGTTACTCTGAGTCCCTTTCTCACATTTCCCCTCTTGCCAGGACTCATAAATCTTTTCTATAAGGGCCAGGCTCCCTCCTTCACATTTTCAGAGTCTGTTAGAGATTTTATCATGGCAGTCCCCAATAGCTCCTAATAATACTGAATTGAAAAACATTTATTGCATGGTCACATGTTACTATACTTATCACTGTGCTTTATAAGGAGTTTTTCACGTGATCTTCTACTTGATTTTTCAAAGCTGGCATTCAGTAATAACTTGTATATTGTCTCTTAATAATTGTTTGCTTTAAAATATTAGATTGCAACTGAAAATCTGCCTTTATGGAACATTTGTGCTGGTTCTTAGGAAATAAACTGTCTCAATGGTAAATTGTTCCTGAGTTGCTTAGTAGGCAAACTATCATACTTGAATAATGAATTGCTATCTGTTTTCTGTATAAAATGGTTTTTAAATAATTGTTTTTCTTCAAGAACTATAAGGCCAAAAAATAATCTCATTCTGATTTTACTGCATATCAAATTATGTATTAGCATCCTCTTTTTTCCACTATATATGCAATCTTTTCAGTTTCATGGTCACTTGACCAAATAGCAAATATCAATGTACCTCCACCACTCTCTAAGATGTGTTCTGTAGACTGGAAGAGGTATGTTCAAATAAACTGGCTAAATGCAGCCCATAGGTAAACCTTCGATTTGCCAATAATTTCAAAACAAAAGTAATTCTTGAGCAGCAGAATGTCAGCTAAATATTGGCAAAAATGAGTGGAGGAAATGTATTCTCTTATATGTTCCAGGTATGAGTTATCACTTCCAAAATCTTATCTTAGATAAGAAAAACAGTAAGGAATGCACTTCAATGATTGCCAGTTTCTATGTGTCCTTAGCATGGACAGCATTTTATGAATGAAATCAGCACAGTCTCTGATATATATATAATATATAAAGTATAAACAACTTTAAAAACCAATACATTGAGATAAAGGCTCCAAGCCAAATTATTCTGTGAGACATTAACATGACTAGATAGAGGATGAACATTTTACAGATTTGGGTAATACATAGAAGATGGATACTCTAGAGTTATAAAAGATGTACTGTATCCCATAAAGATAACCTTCTTCCAAAATTTCTGTAATTTGTGTTTTTATGTGTTGCTATTTTTTTCTGGACTTATTCTGTAAGAACCTCTCCCCCCTCCCCCAAGTTCTGCTGTGCTCTGTCATTGGGATAAGGAGGTGTTCCTGGGACAGATGAGTGAAGAGTGCAAGGAATGCATGCCAAGAGTATATAAATAAATAAATGCTACCTGCAGGGTCACCCAAGGCATGAAGCTCATCCCAGCTACAGCAAGGAGGCACCTATATTGAGCATAAATGATATAGGATGATTGGATGTAGATGATCACTTTAGTGACAATGGCAAAAGCTTCAATTTATAGTGCACGGAAAAAGACAATGGTAAACCACTCTATTTTTACCAAGAAAACCACATGGATAGAAAATATAAAAGATTGATGCTGGATGCTGAGCCCTCAGGTCGGATGGCACTCAACATGCTTCTGAGGAAGAACTGAGGATCTTTTGGAGCACTAATAGTGTTTATGACATGGCTAAATTAAATCTAGTTCTGGACATTCAAGGACATCTAGTTCTGATATTGACATACAAGGAAAGAAAAGCATAACCTGCAAAGACAGAATTACAGTGGAAACATGGAATATAAGAAGCATGAACACAGGGAAGCTCAACATAGTGAAAGATGAAATTAAACAACTACAGATTGACATCTTAGGCATCAGTGAATTGAGATGGACTGGGATGGGACACTTTCAGTCAGAAAATCACACTGCTTATTTACCCAGGGCAAGAAAAAACAAAAATGGAATTGGTCATTGATTTCATTGTAGTCAAATAGTGTTCTTGCTGTACACTTCCTAACCATAAAAGCAACAGTACTTAGCTACAATGCAGTTAACAACCAATTAATACAAATTAGACTTTGTGGACAACCTTTTAATATGATGATCATCCAAATTTATGCTCCAACCACTGATTCAGAAGAAAGAGAGGTTGATGCGTTTTATGAACAAATTCAATTTGAAAATGACAAAACATGCAAGCAAGTTGTGCTGCTTGTGATTGGAGACTGGAATGCCAATGTTAGAAATTTTAAGAAGAAAAATGTAGTTAGATTGTTCAGCTTCAAACTGAAATGAAGCAGGAGAACAATTTATCAATCTCTGCCACTCCAATAATTTCTTCATAGCTAACACTGTCTTCAAAACAACCAAAATGATGCCTGTATACATGGACATCACCAAATGGTTCATAGAAATCAGATTGACTATATTATTGCTAAAAGGAGGTAGAGGTGCTCAGTTATAGAATCAAAGACATGGCTGAGTGCTGACTGTGGAACAGATCATGAACTGCTTTGTGCAAGTTCCAAGTTAAACTAAAGAAGAACAAAGCCAGTTAGTTTCTACAATATCATATTGAGCATATACCCACCATTTTCAAGGAGAATACCAGGAATCACTTTTAAGTCCTGAACCTCACTGATAGAGAACCAGAGGAACTTAGAAGTCATTAAGAAAGAAGTGAAAAGAGGCTGCCAGAAATGAAGAAACAGAAGAAAGTTAACCATGTCAGAACAAACCATGGAAATTGCCAAGAAGAGAAGCCAAAGTCAAGAAAGACAAAAATCTCAGGAGCTGACACAGAACCACATTGCTATATTTTTTCCTTTAATGATAGTAGAGGACCTTTTAGTTGGGCAACGGTAAGTGCAATATCATCAGCATATAATTCTAATTTGTGTTTTTGAGTTGTTAATTTTACTCCTGAAATTTTATTTTCTTGTATATTGCCAGTAGCTCGAGGGCTAATAAAAATAAAGGGAGAGGGTAAAATTTTGTCTTGTCCCTTTCAGTATGTGGCATTTTTGTTATAAAGAGTCATTTACTATTACTTTGGTTTCTTGCTCTTTATAAATACTCTGTGAAAAAAAAAGGACCCCAAGTTAACTTTTCAAAACTGCAAGCAGAAAAGACCATTCTAGATTGTCAAAGGCTTTTTCTACATCAAGAAAGACCATAGCCACTACTTTTTTTTATTTTTTGAATGTCAATAATATTCACAGTATAGCTGATGTTGTCTCTCATGCATCTCTTTGAAACAAATTCAGTCCAATTAATGTGTATCATTTCAGTTAATTAAAAAAATGTGTCTGTGAGTAGGCCATAAAAAGTTTATAATTTATGTTCAATAAAAAAATAGGTCTATGTGATTCTAGGTGGTTTGAGTCATTTCCTTCTTTTTAAATTAAAGAAATAAAGGTTCTTTCCATGACAAAGGAAGTTCTTTATGCTACTGAATTTCATTCATTACTTGAGTTAAAAGGTTTAACCAAAATTGCTTAGAAAGTCTTATAACATATTAAAGAAATACCATCAGATCCTGGAGCTTTATTCAATTCTGTTTTCTTTTATTGCTTTGTTAGTTTTGTCTTCAGTTACAGGTTGATTAAGGACTTATTTTTGTTGATTTCTATATTTTGTAATTAATGTTTTGTTCAGATAGTCTTTTCTGGATCAGAAATCTGTTTACTATACAATTTGGAATAGTAATTAACAAAATGCTCTATCCTATCTTTCATTGTAGAAACACACTTGGTTTTATCCCAAATCAAAGTAACAATTTTATCCTTGAGCCATTTATAGATCAACTTCTTGTTAAATCTAGTTCATATTGTGCTTATCTTTTGTTCTAAATCCAAAACTGCATTAAGTTTATGCCTTGATTCTTATTATTTCAGATCATTCAGCAATGCATCTCCTGCTTCTGCATGGCTTTCTGTCTGCTTGATGCCACAGAGGTAAGCAAAACTCTCACAAATGTTTGCTAGTACCCCATACTGTAGATAAAGAAGCATCAAAGATTAAGTTGATTTGAAAGATACTCTTTAATTTGTGATGACACGATTAAATTCTCTTGTAATAATAAAAGTTCATTATGTCTCCACCATTTCAGTCTGGAAGTTCCTCTATTTAGTCTTACAGTTACTGGATTATGATTTGCATAAGTAGCAGCTACCACATCCAGTTATAAGGTTGGTTAACAATGAATCAAACACATTTTATTTTTGAGTAGATTTTATGAACTAAACAATGATTACTATACCTTCTGTCTGTGGGAAACTTTTCTTTTTAGGGGTGGGACTTATATTAGCAGAATATAAGGGAGGATTGTTTCCACCTGTCGCTTGGTATCAGCAATATCAAAATTCCATTATTGGAGGACCAGAAGTGGGCAAGATGGAGGAAGTGGGATCATGATGAAATCTCTGCCCTTCTCCTATGTGTGATAAGATTGGCCATCCCCCCAATTAATATAATGGCATTATGTGTATTATTTTAATGTAAGACTCTTTCCTAAACTGCACATTCATTCTTGAATATGCTTTTTTTATTGAGCTTCCTAGTAGGATTTTAGATTGGGCTGTTCCTGCTAATATAAGTCCCTTCCCCCCTTTTTTTTTGCATTCACAGAGACCTGAATAAGCAGATTGAATTATGTGAATTTAGAATTCAGGAAACTTTACTTGGTTCAGCAATTAAATAGTCTAGTGCAGAAGTCCCCAAACTCTTCAGCTCATTAACCCTTCATGAAATTTCATATTGTTCATTGATTCCCCAAACATTTATTATATGAAAATAATCTAATAATTACAACTTTAACTAATTGTACTACTACTACTACTACTACTACTACTACTACTAATCCCTTCCAAAGGTACACGGTACCTTGTTGTGGTGGAGAGCCCTGCATGCTCTAGGGATGCTAAGGCTATGCTCAATAGGTGCAACCATATCAGAAAGGTCTTAGCTGAAGATCCAGACTAAAATCTGTTCCAAAAAACCCCCATTCAACATGGTGAGAATACACAATTCAAATTCCATGCCGGATCAACTGTTGCTATTGCTCCTCAGCATTCATAAAAAAATGTGTTATGGAGCTCAGCTTCCTCTGCTAGGCAACCAGGGCATGGAGATGACAGGCTACCGGAAGGCAATCAAAAGTGGAAAATTTGGTCAAAGAAAGAAAACTACTCAATTATGGAATGTTTCTACCAATTGGAACCATCAAAATGTGGATTTCAGAAGTGAATGTACCAACTTTGGAAAGAAAGGCATCCAGGCTTAGAGGTTAATGAACAGAGACTTACGAACCAAAGGCATGTAATTTTTGAAACACAAGTTCTTTACCAATGGTGAATTGGAAGCCATTGAAAAACAAACTACTCAAAATTCAGGTGTATCCAGAACTGGTAATAATAATACCAATCTGCAGAGTGAGCAACAAACAGTAGAAAGTGAAGAGACTATTGATGAAGAACAACAGGGAGAAGAAACTGGAATTGCTAAAGAACTGCAATCACTATCAGTTAACAAATAATTAGTTGGGAAAATCAAGGATCGAATGAAAGAAACTGAAAGAATGCATTTGCCAAAATTGAATCAAATTACAAGAAGACTTTGGCTCAAAATGTGAAGGATATAAATGAAGCTGTCAAAATTATTCCAACTGAAACATTGAGCCAAATGAACCAGCCGATGTATGCTGCAGCCTGTCTAACTATTGAAGGATTGTGACTTGGAAATTCACTTGGAATTGAAGATAAAGAAAATTCTCATAGATTTGAGCAATTTGAAGAATGTGAGGCAAGGGAATTTGAAGAATAAGAAAATCAAAACTAGCCTGTATAATTTGGAGAATAAAGAATTGCAGAGATTGTAGAACAATTGAAACAGAGAGTTGTGGCTATTGCAGAGAAGTTCAAACGATATGACAATCGAATAATCCAATTCCAGCAGAATTCACAGTTTAAAGCAAATCAGCATCAATTCTACAAAACCCTTGAAAATGGAAAGAACTGACCACAAATAATGAAAATCCTGACAAAGAAAAGACCCTAAAAGTTTAGACAAGTTTGTGGGAAAACAACAGGAGTCACAATAGGAATGCAAAATGGATCAAACAAGTTGAAAACACAGTGAAAATATCCAGCATGGAAGATATTAGGATAGTCGGGGAAATGGTACAAAAGCAATTTCAAAAACTGGAGTGCTCCTGGACCAGATGAAGCTCCAGGGATTCCAGTAAAATCATTGACAAGTTTATACTCATAACTTGAATCAGAAAACAAGAAAACTAATGACAATACCATGCTCTACACCCGAAAAGTGATATTGATCAGCTATATTTGCCAAGAGCTGAAGGGGGCAGAGGACTCCTACAGGTGAAACAAACTGTGGAGGATGAAAAGCATGATTTCAATGGCTACATCAAGAAAAGCAAAGAACCCTTATTGAAGGAAGTTAATCAAGGAAAGCTCTTGAAAACAACAAAGGTGAAGGCTGATTATAGAAAAGAAACAATCAAAAACCATTTTGTTAACTGGAAGAATAAGCCAATGCATGGTCAATATTGAAAGATATAGAAGGAAAAGCTGATAAAACCCTCACATGGAGTTGGTTAAGATCAGGAGTGTTAAAGAAAGAAACTGAAGGCCTTATTTTAGCGGCTGAAGAACAAGCTTTGCCAACTAACTGCATGAAAGTGAAAATTCAGCATGTAACAAACAATAGCAAATGTTGCCTTTGAAGTGAAAAGAATGAAACAATTGACCATTTGATCAGTGGCTGCACCAACATTACACAAACTGACTATAAGCAGCATCATGACTGAGTTGTCAAAATTATCAATTGGAAACCTTGCCAGAGGTTTGGATTTGAATGTAGCAAGAACTACTGGGACCATCACGTTGAGAAGGTTTTGAAAAATGAGCGGGCTAAGTTTTTATGGGACTTTAAGATCCAGATAGGCAACTTATTCATAACATGCCTGACAGAGCTATTGAAAAGAAGAAAGTCTGGTTCATTGATGTTGCTGTACTAGGTGATGCTGGGATTGAGGAAAGATAATTGGAAAAAAATTATAAAATATCAGGACCTGCAGATTGAAGTTGAACACCTCTGGAAAAAGAAATCCACTGTTATACCAATTGTGATTGGAGCCCTTGGAGCAAAACCTAAAGGACTCCCTCAACATTTGGAAATTTTGAATTTATCGGACCTGAACACCCTAATTTTACCAAAAAACACCCTGCTAGGAACTGCCTATATTCTCAGATGCTACCTTAATAATTCTCAGGTCCTTAGTTAGGACTTGAATTATTAGGCTTTCATCAGTCTTAGACTAAGAATGTAATTGTAGATTAATAGTAGTAGTAGTAGTAGTAGTAGTAGTAATAATAATAATAATAATAATAATAATATCAACAATAACAATAATGGATAGTCCCATCAACCCTTGGGGGTTGATATTGATCACTGTGGGGAACCCTGGCGTGGTAATTATAGTGAATGGGTAAGTCCCCTCTCATTCAAGTATATGACTCACTTAGGCCGGGTAGGTAAGCTCATCTCTCTCTCACAATCACATGCTCACCCCTGATGGCCAATACACAAATCTGTTAGAGAGGAAATCAACAGCTTTGTTTCAAGAATAGAACACGCTCCTCCCTTTTGGCTAGAGAGAACAAAAGTTGAATTGTTCCAGAATCCTAGCATCAGAAATGGAGGGGGAAGGGAGCCTTGCCCAAGCAAGCCCCAGAGGAGTTTTTCCCAGCCTTATCCTTTCTGTTTGAAAGCCTTGTCATGAGATGCATAAGAGGCGGATGGACAAAGAATAGAGAGTGATTGCTGGAAGATGTAATGGAAAAGAGAGAATGGAGAGGAGGTGAGGGACAGACCCCTAGAACGGGACTTTAGAAGCTCGGAAGAAATCAGTGGGGCACTGGTACTGCTGTCTGGATCTGGGTATGCTAAGCTTGTTTCTTTAGAGTACAGTGAGGGAGAGATTAGACTGGGACCTCAATGCTTCTTGGAACCCAAAGGAATATGTATAAAAAGCCTCTAATTCAAACCTGGAAATCTGAAAGAAGCAAAGTTCATATGAGTAACCATTGAATCACAAGTAATAGAATCGTTAAGCCAAAGTGCAATATCAAGATTTTAGGCTTCATTATCTGGGTGCTGGTTTGTTTTACTCCTCTGATATCTTGATTGTTTTTGCCAATCGTCTCTAATAAAGTTTGTCTTGTGACTACAGTATTATCTTTTGACTTTATATACACTGCACATGCTCAAAAACTACATGTGTGTTTATGCAGCTTGGAACCTTGTTCCGTCGGAGTGCTTCCAAACAAAAGCAAGCTGGTAAAGCCTCACGTGGTCTATATATTTTATACTTTCGATGTTTTGTATTCCAATTTTATAAGTTTGGAGTCTTTAAATGGTTTCAGGGGGGTTATTTCTTGATTTAATTTTATTTTGTTGCTTATGGTTTTTAGTATTACGTGGACTTTTTCCATTGGTTATATTTTGGGTTCTGGTACTCTGTTTATTTTTGATAATCTTATAATAAAAAATAAAGAATTAAAAAAAATAAAAATCTGATCTGTTCAAAGTCAACAACAAAATATTTTCATAATTGATCAACCTTATGCCACATGAAACATGAAAAGAAAATAAGATAAAATATTTTTTAAAAAGGTAAATTGAACATAGCCAGCACAGGCAAAACTTTCTTAGTTCAGGTAAACTGTTTTGAACATTGAGACCATTAACACTAAGGCTTCAATAAAAAGACAATCATAAATATCGCTAGGGACTGGTAAACCATTATTGTTATTAGTAAACTTGGAGCAAGTTTAATCAAGTCAACTTATTCCTAGTGAGGTCCTGCCAAATCTTGAGGGTTTTTAAAACAAAACTATGATGGTTATTAAACATTACAAGAGAGTCCATCACTCTGATCAGCTAAAAGTTAATGAAAATAAGGAGTCAGTATGGCTTGGGTATTGAGATAATGAAATGTGATAAATTTGTGTTGCGGTAGGATTGACAGTAAAGCAGCATGTGGGCTGTTGTTTCAATGGCTCCTGACTTTGATGACAAAGGCATTCGTTACGTGGAGTTTTCCAGAATCTCCTGTCCAGGACTGCAGTTTGCAAGGCATTACAGAGTGTGAATATTAGAGCTCTTTGGAATTTTGGTATGGTGATCAGGGTAAGATATCTAGCAGACTTACTGTATAACTGGTAACTTGATTACTGAAAATGACATCAGTAAAAATTAGGCTGTGCTCAGTTTGATGCTCCATATCAATATTCATTATCTGAGGTTCTTCCTGGAGAAGTCATACCCTACTGTTGTTAGTGCACGAGGAGGGAAGCCATAATGGTGCAGCTTCTCTTTCAACCTTTCCCTGGTCTGCTTGCTTCTTATTTCTCCCTTGTACCATTCTTGGGAGAGTGTTTCTAATATGCTCTTTGTGATTTTATCAAAATTAACTGTCTTATTTGATCCATTGGTATATGTGGTTCTTTTGTTCCAACTCCTCAAAATTGTTCTCTGGCCACATGCCTCAAAGTTACAAGGGTCAGGAGTGATTCTACAGAATTGAATTTTTTTTTTTCACCATTATTATCAGAGTATTGGTGATACCAGATCCCAAACTGGTGGATGACCTCACCCATGGATTTCATGTAGATGTTGAATAGGAGAGGAAAGAGGATTGATCCCTGTGGAACACCCCAGAGGAGGAGCCTAGAGAGTGACCTCTCCTTCCCAACCAACATTGACTGGAACCAGCCCTGAAGAAAGTAAGAAAAACACATAAAATGGTGCCCCCAATCCCAACCCCTAGAGCTGGTCCAGAAGGATACCATGGTTAATGCTATGGAAAGCCAGTGAGATATCAAGGAGCACAAGGATTTTTTAACTGCCATCGAGCTCCTTGCCAGATTTTTCCAGCCCAGATATGGTAATTTCAGACCAGATCAAAAAGTCAACATCCTTGTTTACACTTCCTGACTGGTCAATGTATATGCCAAGTAGATAATATTGTCTGCATTCTAAATGACTGCTGCTACTAAATTTACATCTTAGTGCAATTGTAATAGAGTTTTATTAAACTCTTAGAAATCTTTTTAGGAAGATGTTATGGTGCAAAATGTATGCTTTAACTCTATCCACCACCCAGACTGTTTCCTGTTTGAAGGTTTTTAAAGGCAAGTCTTGAGGAATCAATTTAATCTGTTTAAAACCTCAAAAATCTATCCAAAAATGGGGAGGGCAGAGGGTCTCATTCACTCCAGTGATGTTACAATAGTGCCAGCTAAGTTCCTTGCAGCGGCAAGTAGAAGTATGAAAAAATGTTTACCTTGCTTGTCCACTTTCCATCAGCTTTAGTTCCAGCCTTTCCAAAATCTTTTTAGGGAGAGGATCCAACAGGATCAGGCCCATGATGTGATAGTAGAGGGATTTAACTCTTTGTTGTCTGCTTTCTGTTAACAGCAGAAGGAAACTTATACATAGTTATATAGCTATGTATCCACCTGTCTGCATCTATGCATTTATGTATCTGTGTGTGTGTTGGGGAAGGGATATATTTCTGAATACCACTGGATGGATATCAGCAGTGTACAGATTAACACATGTAAACATCATTCCTAGTTATTCAAACTTTGGCTACAGTTTGAAGGAAAGGTAACTTATTTAGGACTCTTGAGAGCAGGATCAGACACTTCCAATGTTTTCATGTTCAGTTTCAAGTTAGTGCTGATCCCTAATCACCTTGTTTTCCAAAGGAAATAGATACTGAGTAGAAACCATCTGGTAACACATTCTGTATCTCTTAATTACAATGTTTTGAGTGGCATCTAAAGAAATTTTATTTACAAGCACATGACTGCTTGTCAAAGGCTTTGTTGATAATTGTATTATTGTAATATACTTCTCTGCTTAATGATTCAGGGACCCTAAGGTTAGGGATTTTTGAACTGACACAGAGAGAAATGGATTTTAAAGAAAAATAAACTGCAAATGTACATGGTGTATTTTATTTTTAATTACATTTTGAAATAGAATATTGTGGAGATCTGATGGATATCTAAAGCTGTAGTATAACAAATTAACTTCCAAAATTGTAACACAGAAGAGGGTTTATATTCCAATTCTTGCTCTGGTGTGTGTGTGTGTGTGTGTGTGTGTGTCATACACATCACATATACCCAAATTAGAGCAAAATCTTGTCTAACCCAGTATATTTTCTGCCATCACTGACAGCACTTCTCTGCAGTCTCAGATATGGCTTTCTTTTAGGTTCTGCAACCTGAGAAATTCTCTAATTCAGCCTTTCCCAACCTGGTGCCTTCCAAATTTGTTGGGTTACATCTTCCAGAATTCCAAGCTATCAGGCTAAGGAAGACTGTTCTAATTGGAAATTTTTGAATCTGGCTGCTCTTACGCATGCAGTGAGTGTGCTTGTCAGCAGAGCTACAGCAATGACTTAGTGATGCCACCAAAATTCAAAAGTAGTTGATACATAAGTTGAATCTGGCTCAAATTCTTGGAAGTATAATGAGCTCTGACGTAGATCGAAGATATTTTGCATAACTTAGAGGGAAGAGTTCTTAGAAAAGTTACAGTAAAATGAGGTGGTTTGAAGGCTTAACCATTTCATTCTTTAATTCCTTTAAAAATAAAGCTCTTCTCCTAAAACTGCTAGAGGTGGTATTTTATGAAAAAGGGGAGAGGGGAGAATGATGTAAATCACCAAAAATCAATTAGAATTCAAGATACAAAAGTAACAACATTCAATTCAAGCTGGTATGATTTCAGATTGATTTTGATAACATACCACTCATAAGATGTAAGAGGGAATCAATTAAAAAAACCCTGCATTTTCTGCCAGAATGAAATGAATGTAAAAGAGTAGACTTTTTAGATCAAGAATGGGCAATGTTGGTGGGGCTGAACCAGCCTTCCATCTTTCTGGAGGGCTTTGGGGGCCTTCAGGTGATGTGGTTCTTTCACAGGAAGGTCTGGACCATCGTTCTGTTCACTTTGGGGATGTTTTAAAGTGGAAAGGGGAATGGGAATGGGAGTCTTTGGGAGGCAAATAGTTCCCATTTCTATCCTTTTCTTCCTTCATCACCACCTCAAAATAGCCTGAAATTGCTGTATTTTGGGCCTTGAAATCAAATGCTTAGATTATGTGGAGTAACATACTGAGTTCTTTCTCAAATCAGCCCTCTGAAGCTTCTCACAAGTGGTATTTTGATATGGGGTCAAAATTATCTCTAGCATTGTGATAGATATAACCTAATGCAGTTTCCAGGAGTTGCAAGGAAAATGTATGAAATGGCTGCCCCATCCACGTGGTCATCCCCCGGAAACAATATAGTACCATTTCCAGAGACAATTCCAGCCCGTTTTGAAAAGAGTATCTACTTTTCCTAGTCCCTCAGGAAGGCTTTTACCTTAAAAGAAGTTAAAGTCCATAAAACAGAATGGTTTAAAAGCCTTCATGCCACCTCAAGTTACTGTAAGCTTAAATTCATTGTTACTTCAACATCTTTTTTCCAAACTTAACAACTTGGATTTGTATCTTATTGAACAAAATGTGAATTATGAGAAAGTCATTTTATCCATCTCTAGCTGCAAATCCTACTATTCAGAGTAGAGAACTTCTGAACAGTAACTTATGTTGACAGTGTCACCCTGATGTTGAAAACAGTCTGGGCAGAATAATATACAGAAAATATCTCATCTACTAGACTCGACACCCATCCCTTTCTTACACTTGCATCTTATAGGTTCCCACGGTTTAATGGCTCTTTTCCATTTGGCCTTCTAAATAAAGGCAGGGCAATTTGCCAGCATTATTCTCAAAATGATGCTCCTTGGCACTCTAAAGAGGACATTCCAATATGGAATAAATGCTTTTTTAATTATTTATTTTTCATATCATATTTCTGCTTCATAGAGTACTTTCTATACGTTCGTCTTTTGTTTATGGGATTGCTTCATACTGCTGTCTCCCAATACAGTGGACAGTCTCCCAATATGGTGGACAGTTTTGGTTGATATCAAAATATCTTTGATCTATGTCAGAGCTCATTATACTTCCAAGAATTTGAGCCAGATTCAACTTATGTATCAACTACTTTTGAATTTTGGTGGCATCACTAAGTCATTGCTTACCTTTAGAGGTAAGACTACTTTGTTATTTTCATAGGCATGTTTATTTACATTTATGTTTGAGAGCATGTGCGCATGTGTGTGAGAGAGATTGCACTCATGTTCAGCTCTTTGTGATAATTAGTGTACAAGCCATAGGCTCCTATAAAGATGAATCCAGCATGTAGGCAATGTTCTGCTGGCTAATTGCAGCAATCTATCAATATTTTAAAGAGGTCAGGTGACTCAGGAATTAGTCTACTGGCTTTTCACCTCTGGATCTAAAGCATGCCATTAGCTATAAGAAGAGATGGGAGATGTGTTTGTTTCCAAATCTAGATTGGAACTTCTTCTATGATCAGAAATAGAGGAGTCTACTCATGTGTTTGTGTAAGAGAGAGAGAGGGAGAGAGAGAGATTTTAGCTGCCGAGTTTCAGTTCCCAGCTGATTTGAAGTCAGAAGTTTTGGGGAGTTTTGTCCTATTCTCTGGTGGAAATTAGTCTGTGTTACAAAATCAACACTTAATTTGGCACAATTCAGCTGGATTGGCAGCATCTTCCAAAGAAAAGCCTAGAAATGAAATAGCTGGGACATTTTAGGTTCAGGATTCTGAGCTGCTACTCTGTGAGCAGACATGGGGATAAGCAAATTTACAGTGCCTCTACTGAGACCAAGGTTTCAAGCTTTCCACCATCATAAACATGCATATAAATATAAGAAGTTTAGTTGTATTCTGATGAATATAGGAACCTTTTTGGAATGTAAGGTAACCCTTACCCCCACTGTATATATCTATCCTATGTATATCACATAATAGATCTTGATGGTGTTGCTCCCAGGAGAGGAATGATAATGTTGCTGAAATATGGCTTATTGTAAAAGAATATGTGCTTTACGATAGCTTGGCAGGCCTTTCAAGGGCAGCCTGGAACAACTCAGGAGTTAAGTTACATATGCACATATGGAAATGAGATAACCTGTTTAACACCCTGCCTAGCAGGTGCTCATGAAAATGTATTTGTTTGATAAACCCTGAAAAGAATTCCACTCCTTTATATAAACTAACTTTGTTGTCAGGTTATAGGGCAGCCTTCAAAGCACTTTCCCAGCAGAATTCCCTATAGAATTGTTGGTCCATACATAGAATATGAGGTACTAGAGGTCTTCTAACCCCTTTATGAAACAGATAATGGTAGTCACTTTTCAGTTTTGTTCTACCTTTCCCATGTTGCACTGTTATTTTTAAGGAGGCAAGTGATAGATAGATAGATAGATAGATAGATGGACGGATGGACAGATATCCTTTGAGTTCTATTTCATAGAACATAATATGCTGGCCAACACTATTTTATATTCCTTCTTTTTCAGTTTCAATAATATGCTAGTTAATGAACAGCCGCCCTACTGGGAAAAAAAGAAAAATATTAATTTTGTTGATAAATTTCAGGTGACATCCTACAACCGAACAATGACCTGACAATGACAATGAGAAGGGAGAAGGTAAGTGATCATCAATACCAAGCCCATTGGCTGGATTCTTTCAACATCAGGACTACCAACTGAGTGACCTCTGAAAGCAGCAGGAAGGAACCTTCTTAGAAGAACTTTTCCCTCTGTCTCCCCAGGGCCATCACAACCATGGTTCTGTGGAAAAGGTGCCTGAAGGTAGAAGGAGGAAGACCTATAATGGCCACTATGAAGCTGTTCGGCAGAACTTTTCCTCACTACTCCTGGACTATCACCTCCAAGTGCCCGTTTCAAAGACAACAGCCAGCCCCAGAAAACTGTTCAGCTTAGCTCAGGACTGTCCTGAGGGAAGTATGTTCTTTCTTTCTAAGAATATGTATTGTATTTATATGACATTTGTTTCTTTCTTTCTTTACGCTGCTTCAGGAACATGTTTGTCTTGAAAATGAGGAGAGAAATAATTAAAATAAATAATAATGCTGAGGATTCTGGACTAGAATTGGAATCCAATTCAAATCCCCGCTCAGCTACACCACCATGTCTCAACTTTGTCCATAAGTTTGTTGTGATGATAAAATATGGAGGGAGAATTTTGATAACAACAGAAGAGAATATATGGAATATATGTAGCTCAGGGTTGAACTGTGGACTCCTTGGTGCTCTTTGAGCTTGGTTGTTTGCTTACAGATGTTTCATTACCCAACTAGGTAACATCATTAGCACTGATGATGTTATCTAGTTGGTTAATGAAACTTCTGCAAGCAAACAACTAAGCTCAGAGAGCACCAAGGACTCCACAGATATAAGTTCCTTGGAGAAAGCAAAGGATGTATGCATGTATGCATCTGGATAGCATAGTGGTTAGAGTGGTGCCCTTTGATGCAGAAGACTGGGGTTTGAATCCGAATCCCAGCTGGCACCTACCTTACCAGTAGGGATCCTTGGGCAAACACCCCCTAACGCTTCACCTGCCTACATCAGATATGAGAGTGACACAAACTAAGAGAGTAATGCTAGCTCAGATATTGCCTGGATTGACAAGGTCTGCACCAGATGTTTGGGAACCAGGACAATCTGATTATAGGTGAGCTACTGGAACAAACCATACGCAGATGAGACAAGAGAACCTGAAAGTGATGGATTGATGGATTGCTACTACAACAGTAGACCTAATGAATGAGGATATATGAGATGTACAAGGGAACTATGAATGGACAGAAGACTTACATCCACACTAACTGAGAAACAGTTACTCAACATCTCAACATCTCATTGTTTTCAATTGATGTAAACCGCCCAGAGTCCCCCATTGGGGGGAGATGGGCGGGGATAAGTCTACTAAATAAATAAATAAAAAAAAAATAAATCACAGTAGCAGACATCTAACAGTGGGTCAAGAACATGAAAATCTGGACAGCACCTGGCCTGGACATGATCCACACCTACTGGCTAAAGAAACTATCAGAAGTGCATGAATGCCTAGCAGCACAGTTACGCCAGCTGCTAGCAGCAGGCTCCCACCCAGACTCACTAACACAAAGAACGACAATGCTGATCATGAAAGACTCTCACAAGGGAACAGCACCGTCCAACTACCGGCCAGTAATCTGCCTCCCACAACATGGAAAGTCCTATCAGGCATCATAGCCACCAAGCTACAAGACCATATGGGACAGTACATGGGCACAGCTCAGAAGGGCATTGGGAACAACACTAGAGGCTCAAAACACCAGTTGCTCATAGACAGAGCAATCACCCAAGACTCAAAGTCTAGGCAAACCAATCTGAGCATAGCCTGGATTGACTACAAGAAAGCCCATGACTTGATCCCACACACATGGATCTGTGAATGCCTGGTGCTATACAAAGTCAACAGGACTCTAAAGACCTTCCTGAAGAACTCAATAGGACTGTGGAAGGCAACACTGAAAGTCAACTTAAGATAGCTTGCACAAGTGGTCATCAAGTGCGGCATATACCAAGGTGATATACCGTCCATGTTGCTGTTCTGCATAAGCTTGAACTCCCTCAGCCAGATAATCACAAGGACTGGATACAGATACAAGTTCAAGTGTGGAACTACCATCAGCCGCCTCCTCTACATGGATGACATCAAGCTGTATGCTAAGAATGAACAAGACATCGACTCACTGATCTACTTGACATGGATCTATACTGAGGATATTGGGATGTCATTCAGACTGGAGACGTGTGGCCAGATAATAGCAAAGAGAGGGAAGGTAGTTAAGACTGATGGGGTGGAATTATCACCGGCCATATAGCAGACATACAGACCAGCTACAAATACCTTGGTATCCTACAGCCTCGTGGGAATCGCAATGATGAGGCAAGGAAGAAAGCAACATCCAAGTATGTGATGGAATGGAATTATGGCCAGGCTCAGGGAGAAAAATATTTTCTTACATCTCCTGAGGAGCGTGGGAAATACAAGAGGATGCGACTGGCACCTCCCTGAGGAATTCACAATATTGTGGCTGCCATTACTTGGGAGCTGGGGTTTCAGTCTGGGAAGATTCTTGCTAGAGGTTGTAGCTAATA